ATCCATCCATCCATCCATCCATCCATCCATCCATCCATCCATCCATCAACCCACCCCTCCCTCCGTCCCCCCACCTCCCCAGGAGCAGCACAGCAGTCACGCTGTGCCAACCCCCCGCATGCAGCCGCTCGTGCTGATGAGCCAATGTTTTCACGTGGCCACGGGTGAAAATCTTGTTCTCCTTTCTTTGCCTCAGGAAACGTCAAGAATCTGGGTGAAAAAGGCAGAAATAATGCTTGCGCCCGGCTGCCGAGACAAGCATAAATCATGGGCTGGTGGCAACGCCACGGAGCAGCTGAGCTGTGAGCTCAGCAGCGCGGAATGCAGCTGTGTCACCTCGTGTGCCCCAGCCAGAGGCCACCACACGCCGTCCCCACGCGGGGCTCACATCCCTTCTGCCCGCGGTGTGGGGCAGTGGGGCGCTCGGTCCCAGCGGCCCCATTGCCTGGAGCCCCCCTCCACCTCCGGGCTGGGCGACTGCCGGCTCTGCCCTCATTGACCTCTCCGGGTTTGGTCCGTCCTCTTACTGGTGGAAGAAGCTCCGACGGAGCCCAGCCGTGGGACCCCCGTCGGTTCTCCTCCACGAGCTCTTCCCGTTGCCACGCGGCTCTGGATCGGAGCCATCCGCGCCCGGCACCGTCCTAGGAATGATGCAAACCCCGAGCGCGGTTACTTCAGTGAGAACCGGACCGGGGCAGCGACGTGCGGCAAAGCCGGGCTGCGGTGTCATCAGCCGGAGCTCCGTTTGGGGAGTGCCGCTCTTTAATCGCGGCTCCGATCCGCTCCGCCCGCTCGTGTTGGCACCCGTCGCGCTTCTCGCGGGGGGACGAGGAGGGGACGGGGAGGGCAGGCAGGCGAGGCGCGCTGCTGGCACGCACATCCCCATCCCCATCCCCGCTCAGCTCCACGTGCCGCCCACGAGACCTCCGCCCGCCGCCGCCCCTCGGTCCGCTCAGCATCTCCCCCCTGGAGGCGCCGCGAAGCATCCGCCCGAAACGGCGGCCGTTCCTCGTTCCATCGCCGCGCAGAGCCCGCAGTTTCATCCGTGGGACCGGGGCGGGGGGGGGGGGTTGGGATTGGGGGGGGGGGAGGGCGGGCAAAGTCCCGCTTATATAAACCCGGGGCTGCTCCGCTCCATTCATTCTCCTCGCGGCATCGATAAGAGCCGCACGCGGGGCCTTTGCGCAAGAGGTTTTGCAACTCCCCGCCCGCTCCCCCCTCCTCCTCCGCCGTCTGCGCGATGCTGCGGGACGTGGGGGCCGTCACCGTCACCTGCCTGCAGCTCCTGCTGCTGGCGGGCGGCGCGCAGCCTCGGCCCCGCGCGTGGGACGAGGACGGACAGCAGCTGGAAGCCATCAAACACGGCATCCTGCGGCGCTTGGGCATGGCCGGGCCCCCCCCCGTGCCGCACGCTCCGGACCCGGAGAGCATCAGCCGAGCGCGGCGGCTGTACGAGCGGCGCGTGGCCGAACTGCGAGGGAACCGCAGCCGGGAACGGGAGGAGCGCGACGGAGCGGCGGCCGCGACGCGTTGGCACCGCCTGACCGCCATCCGTAAGTGGACGCTGCGCTCCCGTCGTGTCCCCGGACCGCGGCCCCCAGCCGCGCCCCAGCCGCATCCTGTGTGTCTTCAAACCGCGTCCCCAAACTTCATCCCGCCGCGTCCCCCAGCCGTGTCCCACCATCCCCCAACCCGCATCCCGCCGGATCCCCAAACGGTGTCCCCAAAACGTGTCCCACCGTGTCCCCAAGCCACATCCCACTGCATCTCCAAACCGTGCCCCAACCCACACCCTGCCCCGACACGTGCTGGGACATGACCGGACATGAATCCACCGCTGTCACCTTCCTCCTCTCCTCTTCCTCCTCCTCCTCTCCTCTCCTCCTCCCGCCGCTCCCAACGTTGCCTTCAGAGGAGGAGGAGTTGCAATTTTCCATTTAAAAGCACCGATCCCTGATAACGGCACAGCGGGGGGGATGCGGGGAACCGTCCGGACTGGGGGTTGGGGGGCACCACTGCGCGGGACGGGGTTGGAGCCCCGGTGCCTTCATCCCGCGGGAGGCGGGGGGTGGGCAGGGAGGAATCCCATGGCGCGCTGTGGGGTCTCTGTGACACCGGCCGTCCTCTCATCCCACAGTGCGGCGCCTGCCGGACCCCCCCCGGGGAGAGCGGGACCCCCAAGGGGGGCAGGAACGACCCAGAGGACACCGGGACCCCCACGGAGAGCCGGATCCCGACGGCGACCAGCACTCCCACGGGCAGCGAGACCCCGAAGGTCACCGGGACCCCCGCGGACGCCGGGACCCCCCCCGGGCCGTACCGTTACCTCCTGCTGGTGCCGCGCACCGGAGCTCTCCGCCAGAGGCCGCAGGTGCTGCGGGCACGGCTGCCGCTCCCCCCGCACTCAGCACCGCTCCGGGTCAGCATTTATACCCCCGGGGGGTCCGGGGGGGCCCCGCGTCTGCTGCAAGGCCGGGATTTGGACCCCCGCTCCCTCCACCTGGACCTGACATCACTCATCCGGCACTGGGCCGCCGGGAGCAGCGCCGCGCTGCGCTTGGAGTTGACCTTCAGCTCCGACGCGTCGGCTCCGTGGGACGGCACCGGAACCGGGAACGCGGTTCTGGAAGTGGAAACGTGGGACGGGGAGGGGCGGGGAGCGAGGAGACGGCGGGGGCTGGAGGAGGAGTGCGGGAAGAGCGAGGGGAAATGCTGCCGGCGGGTGCTGAAGGTGTCCTTCCAGGAGATCGGGTGGGACGACTGGGTGCTGGCGCCGCGCAGCTACGACATGCGCTTCTGCCAGGGCTCCTGCCCGCACAACTACCGCGCCGCCAGCATGCATGCGCAGATCCAGGCCCGCGTGCACGCCCTGAGCCGCGCTGCCCCGGCGCCCTGCTGTGTGCCGGCTGCCTACGACCCCATGGTGCTGATGCACTACGATGGGGAGGGCAGGTTGGTCAGCTCTGTCTTCGAGGATATGTTGGTCACTCGCTGTCACTGCGCCTGAGGGCACCGCTGGGTGGAGGGGTCCCCACCTCCGTCTATGGGGACCTGTCTGTCACCCCTGGGTGCAGGGATCCATCACCTCCATCTATAGGGACCTGTCACCTCTGGGTGCAGGGAGCAGCGCTGTTGGGTGTAGGGATCTGCCAGATGTGGACGTTGGGTTCCATCACCCCCACCAAAGGGTTCCGTTATGTCTGGATATAGGAATCCATCAGCTCTGGGTCTGGGGATCCGTCGCCTCCAGACACAGGAATCCCTCACCTTCGTCTAAAGGAATCCATCGTTGCAAACAGGGACTGGCAGCTCTGTTGCAGGGCTCCATCCCCTCTGGATGTAGGAACTCATCATCTCTGTCCATATGGACCCACCACCTCCACCTGCAGGGACCCCTCGCCTCCCGATGCTGATGTCTGACCTCCTGCTGCAGGGCCCCCACCCCATCCTGGTGGCACCGACCCCAGGGCCGCAGACCCCACTGCCATCACTCCACACCATAACTTATTCCCCTCTCCCCTTATTTAAAGCATTGGGGTTCCCGGGGGGGCCCCCCCCCCCCCCCCCCCCGGGCTCCTCTCCACACGAGCCTTTTTTATACAGTCCTTTATTTATTGCTCGTTATTTATTGCACTGGACGCCTTTGTTGGGATTCTTTTTTTTTTGGTATATTTATATATTTCTATGAATTCAATCGCGATGTAAATGAATAAAGTGATGGGAACACGGCGCCAGCAGCTCGGCCCCACGCGGCCACGTCCCCCCCAGCCCCCAATCCGTCACCCATGGGTGAGTCATGTGTGGGCTGCGCTCCAGCAGCACTTTGCCCCCGTTGTGGCCTTGGGGCGGGCGCTGAGAAGCCCTGACCACATCGGGGATGTGGCGCCCATTTACTGGTACCCACAGGCAGGGGATGGGGGCAGGGGGACGGGGACATGAGGACATGAGATATGGGGATGGGGGGCATGGGGACAGGGGGGCGTGAGACATAGGATGGGGGGAACATGGGGACATGAGACATAGGGATATGGGACATGGGGACATGAGGCATGAGGCTGTGGCATGAGAATATGGGATGGGGGACATGGGATGGGGATGGGGATGTGAGGTGCAGACACACAGGGATGTGGGGATGTGGGACATGGAGATACTGGGACATGGGGACTTGGAGGTGGCACCCATGGGGAAGAGAGACATGTGGGAACACGGGGACATTGAGATATGGAACATGGGGACATGGGGATGGGGGACAGGAGGAGTTCCAGCCTGGGGTTATGGGCTCTGGGGACCACAGTTCAATGGATGTGGGACGTGGGGTCACCATGATGGGGATGTGGCCTTAGGGGACTGGGAAATAGGAACCTGCCAGTGTGGGACCCGTATTGTTGGCACCTCTGCTCTGGGAACGGGACCCCCAGCACCCCACACAGCCCCTGGGGGGTTCCAGCAGACCGTGAGTCCTACGGGTCACTGAGGACAGCCCAACATTTAATGTCACCGTGGAGAATCACAAGGATCCGTGCGAGGCTGGGACACGAGGTGCCCCCATGTCACCACCCACCTCACAGCCACACACTGCCAGCAGCGTCCAA